CAAATGTTACATTTAATTACAGATTCAGTCAACAATGTATTTTCCCTGATTATCTATGACTTCCTTCCATCTATTAACAAGCTTACTAATTTCATTACTGTAAAATTCTTTTGGCTTTGATTCGAAGAACTCACAAATGTCAGTTTTAACCTTTTGCCTGTGTTTCAAAAGCTGTTTCTTCCAAATGATTCTGTAAGCTACGAAACAAATGGTAGTCTGAAGGAGCAAGATTGGGAGAATAAGGTGGATGAGGAATTTTCTCCCAACCAAGTTCTTCGATATTTTGTGACGTGATTCTTGCTGTGTGGGATCACGCATTGTCCTGATGAATCATCACCTCTTTTCGATTCACTAGAGCAGGTTTTTCTTTCCTCAAAGCTTGGTTCAAACGCTCTAATTGCTGACAGTATATTTGAGCATTGATTGTTGCATTAGGTGGTAAGAATTCAAAGTGGATTATTCCTTGGCGATCCCACCAGATTGAAAGAAGAACCTTTTGCCCATGAAGTTCCCTTCTCGGCTGTGGCTGGGGTTCTTCCCCTTTACCAAGCCACTGTCTACGACGCTTAACATTTCGATAAAAGATCCTTTTTCGTCGCCAGTCACAAGTCTATCCAAAAAAGGTGAGACAAGTTGGCGAGAATGGAGAGAAGATCAGATGTCAACTTGGGATTTGAAGTTGTTTTCAGACAATACAGAGGGCACCTATTTTCCAAGTTTAGGAACTCTTCCAAGTTGTTGAAGATGACGATGAACAGTTGTATGGTTTGAACTGAGAACCACTGCTAATTCCTCAACTGATAAAGCAGGATTTTCTTCAAGGGCTGCTTCAAGAAGCTTTTCATCAAACTCAACTGGACGTCCGGTTCGATCTTCATCTTCAAGGGCGAAATCTCCACCTCTGAATTTTGCAAACCATCTTCTGCAAGTTCTTTCATTCACACATTCCTCTCCATAAACTGAGTGAATGTTTCTAGCCGCTTCGGCTGCTGAGTTTCCTTTCTTGAACTCATAAAGCATTATGTGCCTCAAATGATTCTTGGGTACTTCCATGTTAGCAGGGTTTTAATGAAACAAAATTTAATTTTATTGTTCTCTGAAATCAAATGTGATCAGTTTAAATGCATCTAAACATAAAAATAATGTTCAGCTCCATTAGACATTATAAAATACTCTTTAAATTTCGTTCATTTAAACAAAAAGTTAAAATTCGGACAGAACTTATGGGATGACCTGATAGCCGTTCTTTTGATGAATACCATTTTTTCACAAACATCGAATTTATAATTAAATTTAGCTCCTTAAAATATCCATTGTAGTCTAGCAGTATACTACGACGCTATTTGTATAAATATATATATATATATATATATATATATATATATATATATTATGAAATGGACAAAGTCCGACAATTATTTTAAGATATTTTTTATAGTTATACGTTCTTTACATAGATACAAATATTTAAGTCGATGCTCTGTTTATAATAAACAGCATTAACGACATTTACCGGCCTAAATGTCCGAGAAATTTTAATGGAAAATATGCGTCCCACAACAGGAATCGAACCTGTATCCTATACGGAACCGTCATATAGCCTGACGTGCTTTACCGATTTAGCTACAGAGGACGCTTCGGTGAGCAAGGTCGATTTTACTGCTTAATACTGTTTATTATAAACAGAGCATTTTCTTAAATATTTGTATTTATATAAAGAACATACAAGCATAAAAATATTAATATATATATATATATATATATATATATATATATATATATATATATATATATATGTCTATATTTTGGCAGAATGTTATCATTGAGATATGTTTCGTTGAATAATTTAGAGACGTTTTGTTTACTTATTTTCAATTGGATCCTTTCATGTTTTTTTTTGGTGTCGTTATTGAAAGACAAGAGAAAATAACCGTATTGATATATTTTTTAAAATTGTTCCGAGTACTTTCGACATAGCATAATGTCATCATCAGAGTGTTTTTTTATTGCAAGACAATTGTTGTAGTATTCATTTTCGTCTTTCAATGACAACACCAAAAAGATTGTCCGTTAAGATGAAAGGATACAATTGAACATAAATAGACAAAACTTGTCTAAATTATTCAACGACACCTGTCTCAACACACACACACACACACACACACACACACACACACACACACATATATATATATATATATATATATATATATATATATATATATATATATATATATAAGTATAAGAATGGGCACACATATGTCGCAATTATTAAAACAGAAAATAACATACTTCGAAAGAAAATTCTAAAAATTCTTCTACCGAATTTTATCGAAATCTAAATTTGCAACAAGGTTTTCTTCCCAATATCTCCTTCCCAGAAGGAATTCCTCCTAGCCAAATCAAGCTGCATGACCACAAAAAATACAAAAAAATTAAAATAAAGCCTTTACATCCATAACCCCATGTTATTCAAAACATATAACACATAAATCAATGCCAAATCCAAATATTTTATATATTAATTTACATATATTTACATATATATATATATAAATAAATAAAAATTTCGTTTATTTGGCATTGAACTGTATAATCTGACGTCCATGAACTTCTCTGTCTTCTTCCGCTAACTTAATGAATATTCATGAGCAATCCTATGCCACTAAACTTTGAAAAACCAATAACATTTTTGCTCTTCTATATAAATACTTATCACAAAATAAAATCCCTACATTTGCCTTGATAAAGTAATTTAGAAGACGAACTATGTCTGCTAAATATTCTTTTTGTCTTTTTCATTAGGTTTAATGATATGCATTTGTAAAGTTTGTAATTAAGCAGCAACTGTTATTTTTAAAACATGATTTATTGAAAAGTATAAACATGTTTTATTGATAAGTATAAACATTTTGTGTATATTTTAAATTTTCTTCTATCTATATAAAAAATTCTGTAACTTCCTTTATTCTGTAAGTCACACTCATAATACCTCATCTCAGGGATATAGACAGATATCCTTGAATCCTGTTTTCTTATTTTCGTGTTTATTTTTCTTTGAACCTAGTGGCTTATATCGCGTTGCTTGTGGCTAATTGATTTACTAAAAAATATTCCAATTATTAAATATGTTAAAACTTTCTTTCACTCTCATTATTGCAGATAGATCGACACAGGAAATACTAAATGCCTACATGGAAATTCATTGGACATTAATTTATTATAAAAACAAAACGCTTTTCAAATTATCTATTATAGAAATATTAAATACGTTAAATTGTTGCATATATAATAACACAAAAAAAATATTAAGACAATTCTATGGCATCTGTCAGTCTCGATAAATATTCAAATATTCTATACCAAAACATTTTGAAAAACCAATAACAATTTTGCTACTTCTATACTTGTTACAAAATAAAATCCATACATTTGCCTTGATAAAGTCCCTCAGAGGTTGAAACCCGTCGACCAATATACGTTTTCCTAATCTTAAGGTACCTCGAGATGGTGTAATGGTTAACAAGCTTGTCTCGCTCGAACTGTAACATTTGAATGGTGAGTTCGATCCTTACTGGGTACCCCACACTTTCGGCCTTGTGCCACAACTAAGCTACGTCGAGAAAATCTTACTTAACATTACACCTCAAGGCGGTGTAATGGTAAGTAAGCTTGTCTCGCTAGAAAAATTACGGCTGAGTAGTGAGTTCGATCCTCACTGGGTGCAACATACTTTCGGCCTTATTGAACATTAAAGTCAAGACTTAGAGGCGATAGGCAGTTTCATGCTAGACGCAATCGTCAGGCCACGAGTGTTGTTTTTTTCTCGGCTATTTATATAAACGGGTCAGTGGTGCATTGTGGGTAGTCTATTTTGGCGCTTATTTTTCCGGAAGCCGTTTATTTGTTTATTTATTTATTTGGGTTAAATTCTTTTGCTTGTTTTTATTTATTTTTATCTTTTATTTTTTATTTTTATTTCTTATATATTTATTTATTAGTATTGTAATCGGTGTTTTATTAACGTCGTAAATAATTGTTTATATCGCTTATTTAATATTTTTGGTTTGGTTTGGGAAGCTAATAAAAGCTATTTATTCAGTTTTGGGGTTGATTGCTGTAGTTTTCACTTTTATATTTACACACGCTCTATCTCTGATATTGAGCACTTTATCCCATAAATATAGCACATCTTAAGAGTATATTTCTTCATATATATATATATATATATATATATATATATATATATATATAATATCGCACATTGAGTGCTGGTGTTAAAAAAATACTACTACATGTAATATACTGTGAGGATTTTAACATGCGTCTGTGTAAATAAATGGTATAAATTATAATAATCCGCTTTATGCTAGAGTCTAAAACCTCGATCTAATCATCAGCCGAAAATGCGTGCGTTTTATACCAGACTCCAAAGATAGACACACGTCAGATTTCTGTATATGCTTTTAGCGCTACCTGTATTACTCTATATGTAATTATAAGAATGAATGAAAGTTTTGAAAACTTAATAATGATAACGTATCTCTATAGTAAAGACTGTGTTATGCTCTAAGTAACTTTTGATCAGTTTTATTTAAACACACACAAACCGGAAGTAGCAACATTTTTCAATATGGCGACTTTGAGCTTTCAAAATAACCCAATCTGACAATTTTCCCTGCAAACGCGTTATCTAGATCCGAAAGATAATAAAAGACCTACCATGGCAAAATGTGTCGGGCCTGTTTATAAGTCAGTTATAAAACAACACTGACTGTCAACATGAAATCTAATCAAATATTGATGATCACTCAGCGGGGTTGGCGACATGTGAAATCCCAGCTCGGCATCATTTTAAATTGATTTTCTTTTCGTTACTAACCCAAAATAAATCTGATTATGTTTTTTTTTAAAGTAGCCCCAATAGACGTACGAAGCGAAATTGAAAATTTCGCAGCGCTGGCCATTCGAACTAGATAACTCAGACAAGCCTGGTGTCGATGGCATCTTTTGACGCCTTCTTATCCGAAGGGAGGTGTTTGTCAAGATTCGATCAAGACGCAGCAGTTTCAAGCGGAAAATTCTCGGTGCTTTTTCACAGAACAAAGTCAAGGGAACGAAAGCATTTCGATAAAAGAAACATGAGCTATCGATTGTGAGAAACAGGAATATATTCGTGTTACTTCTTATCTATCTATCTATCTATCTCAGTCTGTTCATATATATCTATCTATGTCAATCTGTTCATATCTATCTATCTATCTATCTATCTATCTGTTTATTGCACTTTGTTCATATCTATCAAACTATCTGTCTTAGTCTGTTCCTATCTATCTATCTATCTATCTATCTATCTATCTATCTATCTATCGTAGTCTTTCATATCTATCTGTCTATCTCTCTATCTATCTATGTCAGTCTTTTTCTATCTATCTATCTATCTATCTATCTATCTATCGCAATATGTTCATATCTATCTATCTATCGTAGTCTTTCATATCTATCTATCTATCTATCTATCTATCTATCTATCTATCTATCGTAGTCTTTCATATCTATCTATGTCAGTCTGTTCATATCTATCTATGTCAGTCTGTTCATATCTATCTATCTATCTATCTCAGTCTGTTCATATCTATCTATCTATCTATCTATCTATCTATCTATCTATCTATCGCAATCTGTTCATATCTATCTATCTATCGTAGTCTTTCATATCTATCTATCTATCTATCTATCTATCTATCTATCTCTGCCTATCTTTATCCCTGGACCAATCCAGTCTATGAACACTTGCGTGTGACAAATCAATAAAAAGGTACCAAGCCGTCTACAAACTAATGAGACCATTTGTATTCATTGCACAATTTACAAACTTGGCCCAACATCACGCCAAATTGAAAACATTTAGTAACACAGGAAGGTGTGTTAAGTTTCTTTAGCAGTTTTGCACTTTTGAGCAGACCCCGCCCGACATAATAGAGTGGGGAAAAAAATAAACATATTCCTTGAGGAACGTAATGTTTTAATAAGAAATGCTTCAGGAGCATTAAGAAAAAAAAAACACCCGAAGAGTGTCATAATATGCAAATCTTAGAGGATCTTCTTTCTCGGTGTCGTCTCCTTTCAGGACTTGGCGATCATGGCACTTTACAACTTTTTGTCCTTTGTTGGTCTTGCATTCATTCCGAGTTCTGCCCTGACCGGAGCCTGGTAGTCGATGTCTATCTCTAGGGCCGAAAAAACTGCATGCTCACATTCAATACGCCAAAGAATCACAAGCTCGTAACGTTGAATCATCAGCAGGAATATTTGTCTCTCTCAAAGAACTTGTGCGTTCTCTAGAGACGTCCCTTGCCTTGAACGACTCTTGGGACGTAAAGATGCAGAAAAAAAATGATTGGTTCCCAAGTACCGTTCCAGCAAGTACCTGACTCCCCATGCTATCCTATATATGTGCATGAACCAGATTAGTTCGAGAAATGGTGTACAGCTGCCCTATATTGGCTGGATATGCCCGGCCTTAACGTTCAAATGAGTTTACGTGGCCTTGTGAGTGATGTGTTATTTTCCATAATATAACACATTTGTCACATAGTGGATTTGAATGTCATTCTCTATTCTAACGCTATTTCCAGAGAAAATGTCCCGAAAAATGATATACTTGCTTCCAAGAGGTTTTTTTACAAAAAAAAAAAAAAAATAAAATACAAAAAAAAAACCCAAAACAAAAGAAAACAGCTAAGCAGTCTACTGTTCTTGCTTCAAAGAAAATTGAATTTTTATTGGATCAGATTTAAATGAATAAAAATAAAAAAAAGTACCATTTTATTCATTTGCAACAAAAATGAATGAAACTTGCAGAAAAAGATGAATTCGGAATGAGCTTATCTACGAAGGATTTTTAATGCTAAATTTAAAAATGATCACCAACAAATTGCATTTTCTTTAGGAATTCATGGCAGTTGATAACTTTGATTCAAAATCGAGTTGAAATTAATTCCGAGTTACTGGTTGAAATTAGTTCCGGGCTGAAATTAGTTCCGAGTTGAAATTAATTTCGAGTTGAAATTATTTCCAAGTTGAAATTAATTCCGAGTTGAAATTAATTCCGAGTTGAAATTAGTTCCGGGTTGAAATTAGTTCCGGGTTGAAATTAGTTCCTTTTATATGGCTTTTTCGTTATATCACAAAAATATCCTTGTTTTGTTTTCGTTTATTTTGTTTTACTTTAATGGGATATTTAATGCCAACAAGATATTTCGAATAGTTTCCTATAAATAGAATATGTATTCTTTGTAAGAAATCAGTTTGTAGATCAGGGTTTTGGTTTATTTTGTTTTACGGCTTATCAACCTCAATAGGTTATTTAATGCCGACAAGATTTTTAGGATAATTTCGTATGAATAGAATATGTATTCTTTGTAAGAAATCAGTTTGTAGATCAAGGTTAGGATTTGTATTGTTTTACGGATTATCAACACCTGAATGGGTTATTTAATTCCGAGAAGATTTTTAGGATAGATTCTTATGAATAGAATATGTATTCTTTGTAAAAAAATCAGTTTGTAGATCAAGGTTAGGGCTTATTTTGTTTTACGGCTTAATAACCTCAATGGGTTATTTAATGTCGATAAACGGCTTAACAACATAAATGGGTTATTTAATTCCGTCAAGATTGTTTAAGATAGATTCGTACTAATAGAATATGTATTCGTTGTAAGAAATCATTTCTGGATCAGGGTTCGGGTTTATTTTGTTTTACGGCTTATCAACCACAATGAGTTATTTAATGCCGATTAGATTTTTAGGATAGGTTCGTATGAATAGAATATGTATTCTTTATAAGAAATCAGTTTGTACATCAGAGTTTGGGTTTATTTTGTTTTACGGCTTATCAAGCTAAATGCCCTGTTTTTAATTAAATAGTATTAATTACATTTAACGGCCTGAGTGTTCGAGAAATTTCGTAGAAAATATGAAACATTCAGGCATAAACTTAGAGTTTCAGAGGGATCTGTCCGTTCACTCTTTATGATGTATCAGCAATCCACACACACACACACACACACACACACACACACATATATATATATATATATATATATATATATATATATATATATATACGAAGTTATTACGTAATCACTAACAACAGTGCTGGACGCTATTTGGGGCAGAGGATTATTTTAAGATGCTCTTCATCTCTAAACATCACAATGAAGCTAGCGTCCACTCCCCAAAATTTACTGATGTCATTATGATAACCATATCGCTATGTCGATCAGTCAGAAGTCATTTATTAAGGAAGCAAACAACGACATAAAAATATAAGGAAAACGTCCTTTTCTGGCTAGTCTAGTACTTAGAAGGTGTATATCATGGTACCAGAACTTTCAGATAATCAAGAAAAAATAGACTTGGCTCTTGCAGACATGATAATCTGTAATTATCTGAAGAAGAGTTTTTCCTTTCTTTCATTTTTTTTTTTAAGCAAACTTTTGACCAAGAATTTAAGCGAAGTGTTAGCTTCAAATACATTCTCTCTTGAAAGGGTGTAATTGTAAGCTAACAGATTCTCTGTAATCTTTCAGCGATAAGAACACCTTTGTCATTTGTCAATATTCTGACATTTGTCGAGTTTCTAACTTCGGCCATATTTACCGAGCATATATATATATATATATATATATATATATATATATATATATATATATATATATATATATATATGTGTGTGTGTGTGTGTGTGTGTGTGTGTGTGTGTGCATTGGGATAAATAGCTTAAGATTTGGCGAAGAATGTGGTGTATAAGTCTTATGGTCCGGTTCCTTGTACCACGGTGATAGTCCAAGATAGAACCAATAAAGAAGAACTTGAACACAGGTATGGAATAACACAGATATATTACAAACAGGAATATATACAGAGAAGTAGAAAGTGTTAGTATGAACAATCAGGTTTAGTAGAGAGAACAATGTAGTCTCGACCAGTATCACTATTCCAATGTCTTGCAGTAATTGTCTGAACGCGACTCTGTTTCGGACTGCCTCTGACTCGACTCTTGAATCGACTTGAACGACTGACTGACTTGAATGACTGACTATATTTAGTCACCTCCCCCCACGTGGGCATCATGTGGCACAAGGTCGGTTTAACGTGGGCTCGGCCAAAAATAGGCCCAGTGTACCCGTATAAACGGGTTCAGTGTCGGTTTACCTCCCAGAACGAAACTCCGCCCTTCGGCGTAGCCTCGTTCGGGTTCCTCCCCGCCCGAAGGCAGAGACTTCAACCGAACAGTCAGTTCAGAAGTGAACGACTGACTGACGATATTCAGTCACACCCCCACTGGTGCATCATGTGACACAAGGTCGGTTATTTATTGTGGATTCTCCGAGCCCGTGGGCTCCACCTCAAAATATGCCCATTGAACCCGTATAAACGGGCTCAGGGCCAGTTTACTTCCCCGAACGAGACTCTGCCCCTCGGCGTAGCCTCGTTCGGTTTCCTCCCCGCCAGAAGGCAGAGAGTTCAACCGATCTGTCGTTCAAGACTTGAGCGACTGACTGACTCTTTGCCTACTCCTGAGGTGCAGTATTTATTAAGTATTGAATAGTCCATTATTATTATTATGGGTAAGATCCCATAACAATAAGTCAGATGCAAAACGAAATAATACCGTCTGAACTCCATATCTCAGGCAGTAACAACAAAGATAAGGATACTCGAAAGATTTCGTTTCAACAACGAAGTCGAGGATGGTCGAGAAAAGAGTCATTCCATATTACTAATGACTACTCTGAACGTTTCGGTCGTTCTCTTTCCTGGCTATCTTCAGGTGGTTGACGAACTTGATAAATATTCGGGGAATTTCGGACGGAACCCTTTATTTTAATCTACGGGAGTAGAACAAGTGGAAACATCCCGAACGATAGACAATGAAACGAGAATAATCCCCCCCCATCATCACTACCTAGATTCCAGAAAGAATTTTGTTCAAAGCACCTGATGAAGGCCCGTTCTGGATATGACGATAAACTACATCTGCATCCAGGGTAAGAAGATAAACTACATCCGCATCCAGGGTAAGAAGATAAACTACGTCCGCGTCCAGGGTAAGAAGATAACTACGTCCAACAGTAAGGCCTCTGATTAGAAATCATTGAGGAGCATCGAACCACCTCTTAATTGCTGGTGGTCCCAGGTCCAACCTAACCCAGGGTGGTAGCACCTGTTAGGGTCCCGGCTATGGGCAAATAGTTAACTCCGAAACTGAGGTAAAAAACGTTATGTAAGTATAAAACTAGGTTTTAATACCAGAAATAATTTGTAAAAAACTTATTACCAGGAATAATTTTTTAAAGAAGAAAAAACTATTACCAGCAATACCTTTTTGAAAAAATTATTACTAGCAATACATGTTTTGAAAATTATATTACCAGCTATACATTTTTGAGGAAAAAAATATTACCAGAAATAGAATTTTTAGGAAAACAAAAATATTACCCGGAAAAAAAAGTTGCAGGCATTAAATGACCCATTGAGGTTTTAATATGCCGTAAAGCAAAAAAAAAAAAAAAAAAAAAAAAAAAAAAAAAAAAAAAAAAAAAAACGAAACAAAACATGATGAAGGCTGACACATTGTGATGATGATAACAAAGAAACGGTTGGTCTTTCAAGCGGGGGAGAAAGTATTTTAAAAACAACATTTTTTTCCCCTGGGTCGGGCACTGTGTATTTGCACTCAGGGGAAACGGACGAGAAATAACTGAACAGGACTTGTTGAATAAATGCTTTGGCTTG